CGGGGCCTGGCTTCTGACCCCCCTCTTCAGATTGTGTGGGCTGGGGGGGAGGGCGGGCCCCCTGGTGCAGACCCCTCCCTGTGCAACCTGTTGTTCTCCGGCTAGCGACGGTGGATATCGCCATTGTCGCCTGCTGGGGACCCTCATCGGGCCTCGGGGCCGTGCCGTGGAGAAACAGGTCAGGATGAAGAGCGGGTCCTTACCAGCCTCGAACGTATCCCTATCCCTGAGATTGACACGCCAAAAGGCGATGACAATCTTAGGGGTTCGCCCTCAAAAAATAAGGGAATCCCCAAGACTGGCATCGTGATGAGGAGGTGCCGAGCATAGGGATAGGGATATGTTCCAGGCTGGTAAGGTCCAAGGACATGGGGGTCGACATGCAAGAATCATGGCCTCCAGGGCATCGGGGTCGAGACACATGTTTTTCACCGCCTTCGGGCCTCTCAGACCCCTCCCCGAGCCTCAGGACCTTCAGAATACAGGGCTCGGGATGAGAAGCCGGCCCCGGGGCATTAATGGCAAAGAGGTGGGGGGCTGGGGGGGCCGTGTTTCGCAACAAGACCGAGACGCTGGATGCCTGGGAACCTTGGTGCTCGTATGGAGCTCTGGCTCTCCACGATCGCCGCGACCCCGGCCGCGACGTCGAAGCACGGCACGGAGCTCCTTGTGCAGGGCTTTTCGGGCCGGGCGAAAGGGGGGGATTGGGAAAGGGGGGGTTACGAAATTTGCTGCATGCAGCTGGTTTCGGCCTCACCGAGGGGCCCCTTCCTCGATGCATAGCCGCCTCCGGCGCCGGGAGGCGCCGGGAGAATCAGCTGCGTGAGCTGCTTCTCAACCCCCCCCCCTTGCTATCCCCAGAGCGTGAATTACCTCCCTCGCTTTCGCTTCCAGGCAAAACCAAGTCATACCACGCGCCTCCTCGTTAAGCGGCCTGACCAGTACAGGCCGCAGTTTGGCATCGTTTGGTATCTCTTGGAAGCGAGGGCGGTCAAAAGCGAGGTAGGTTTGTGTTCCCCCTATATCCCCCCCCTTTCGCCCGACCCGAGCTTGGGGCCAGCGGCCAGCGAGAGGGGGCTCGGGGCGGGGTGCCGGCCCAAGGGGGGAAGGTGCTCGGGAGAGAGGCCCGAGGCCTGGGCGCCCCGCTGCCCCGGAGCGCGCGGGCGCGCGCGCCCTCCCCCCCCCCCCCCCCCACTCGTCCTCGTGCTCCCTCCTGCTCCTCCTCCTCCTCCTCCACCCTCCTCCTCCTCTCATCCTCCTTCTCTTCCACCCCCCCTCCCCCTCCTCCTCCCCTCGTCCTCCTCCTCCTCCTCCTCCTCCTCCTCCTCCTCCTCGTCCTCCTCCTCCTCCTCCTCCTCCTCCTCCTCCTCCTCCTCCTCCTCCTCCTCCTCTGAGGGAGAAAACACACAGACACAATGAATCGTCGATCCCCCAGAAAATATGGGAAAGTATGGGAGGTGGGGGGGGAAGACGAAACCCCCCAAAATAGGGGAAAGTATAGGGAACCATACTATTTGTGTGTGTATTCCTTTGTGTGTCCTTGGGTCCCCCTCGCGTGCAGGCCAGGTGATGCTCCCCCCGGAGAAGAAGCTGAAGTGGACGCCCGGCGCGCCGGCGGGGGCCGGCGGCGTCCCCGAGGGGGAGATCCGCTTCGAGCAGGCGGGGAAAAAACACACAGACACACTGCATCGTCGATTCCCCAGAAAATATGGGAAAATATGGGAAGTGTGGGGGGGAAGACAAAAACCCAAAAGATATAGGAAAATATGAGGAATCATTATATTTGTGTATATTTATTTGTATGTATTTATTTGTGTGTTTGTGGGCCCCTTCATTCGAGCAGGCCGCCTCGGTGTTCACGGCCCAGTCGATGAGCGGCACGCTCCTGGGCGGCTCCCCCAGCAGGAGAGCCAGGAGGCGGCCGGGCACGCCCAGGTCTCCGGCGATGTGCCGGTCTTAGGTCGGGCCTGCCCCCATGAAAAATAGTCAAACAAGTGTACCAAAGATGCCAAAAAATAGTCAAGACTCGTCCACTGACAATTTTTTAAATTATTTAGGAATGTTCCTCCTGTAGAGGGACGGGCCCGACTTCATGCTGGTTTCTCACCGCCCCGCAAACCATCCCAGCCCAACCCGAAGGCCCCAACCCGAAGGCCCCAACCGTCCCGAACCACCCCAACCCAACCCTGCCCTCGATTTCCAGTGGGGGTGGGCCGGGGAACATTGAAAAAGCGCATATATGAACCCCGTACCCCCCCGGCCCAAAATTCGGGTCTCGGGGTTGGGTTGCGGTGGTCCGGCAGGTAGTCAGTTTCCGTCGGGCCGTTTTTGCCCCAACCATCTTTGTGGTGCTGGGCCCTCGTGTTGAATCAGCAGCATCGCCCCGCGACCGCTCTCCTCTGGGTCTTCGTTTTGAGTCAGCAGCGCTCCGCGCCCTCTCTCCTCTCCTCCTCTCCCCTCCCCTCTCCTCTCCTCTCCTCTCCTCTCCTCTCCTCTCCTCTCCTCTCCTTTTCTTTCCTCTCCTCTCCTCTCCTCTCCTCTCTTCTCCTCTCTGCTCCTCTCTCCCCCTCTCTCCTCTCTCCTCTCTCCTCCTCCTCCTCCTCCTCATCCTCCTCCTCCTCCTCCTCCTCCTCCTCCTTTCTACTCTCATTCTTTCCTCTGCCCTGCGCGTGCACCCATCGCCATCGTCGACGACGACGACGTGTTGGTTTAAGCCCTGTCGTTTTTTCCTTGACTTCGGCCTCTGGGAGGCCCCAGGACTAACTAAACACATGAAAGGGCCGCGCGTTGAACATGACATCCTTGCGGCAGAAGACCCTGATCAGTTTCACGCAGTTACGATGGGGGCCACGATGGGATGTCACGATGGGGTGCCGCGATGAGCGGCTACGATTGGGGGAGTGGGTTTGGGATAGTGATAAAGACAGGGATAGGGATAGGGAGGAATGTAATTCTAGGAGTATGCAGGGATGTAGCGATAGGGATCGGGAGGGGTATGGGGATGGGGATTTGGTTATGGGATAAGGGGCAGGGGTAAAGGGGATAGGGACAGGGAGAGTGGCAAAGGGACAGGGGTAAGGATAGAGATAGGGATGGGGACACGAGTAGGGACGGGGAGAGACCGTGGGAATCCGCAGGGGACAACGGGAGACCACGTGAGACAACAGGCGACGACGTCGCCCGACCGATTCCTGATGCGGCAGCGCACCTGGCAGTCTCGAGTTCCATTTCTGGAGGTCCGTGCAGATCTCTCGGTATGATCAGGAGGGAATCAAGACACACAGACACAATTGATCGTCGCTTCCCCCAGAACATATGGGAAACTATGGGAAGTGGAGGGGGGAAGGCAAAAGCCCAGAAGATGTGGGAAAATATGGGGAGTCGTTTTATTTGTGTGTATTCATTTGCGTGTCCCCGGGCCCCTTCGGCACCGTCGCTGGCCCCCCTTCCTGGGCGCGCGCGGGGGGCGCGCCCAGGGTCGACCGCCAGGGGCGCCGCCGGAGGCGCTCCAGCGCCGATCCCAGAGCTCCGCGCGGGGCTCCCAAAGTGCATGCTTGCTTCGGTAACAAAATAATAATAATAATGATAATGATAATAATAATAATAATAGTAATAATAAGAAGAAGAAGAATGAGATAAAAAAGCAGTGCATGCTTCTTTCGGTGCCCGCTCCTCTACTTGCAGGCAGGCCGTCTCCTCCCCCCGGGGACCGCTCCCGGGGCCCATTGTTGGTGGAATTCTTTGCCTCCGGGGGCCGTTTTTTTTTGCTCGGCCCCGGGGCCCGAACAACGCGGCTAGAGACCGAGCAAGGCAGCTACATGACCTTCTTTTTGGCCCAGGGCCTCGAACCTCGTCCCCCCCCCCCTTGTCCTGCCCAGACCTCCGACGTATTGACAAAAATCAAGACGGAGGTTTTTCTCGGTTTTTGGCCTCCGGCGGCCCTCGCCAAGCCCTGGGACCGTCAAAAAACGACTCAGGATGAAGAGCCGGTCCTGGGGAATGGGTCGAGACTTCCAGGGACCCCGTATTGAAAAAATCACGACGTCGGATCTCTGGGTGCTAGTCGGAGCCGGTGCGGGGCCACCCCCCGGGCCCCCAGCTGGCTCCGATTTGCAGACGAGCTGTTTCGGGGAGATCGCATCGTCGGACGCCGGACCGATGCCCCTCCCCACCGCGCCGCGGTAGCTCAGCCCCACCCTCCCACCACCCCAGTCGGGGGAGGGGCTCCTCGAGACACGAAGGGACCACCCTGACTCCAGATCCGCCCTACTTTGGCTTTTTTTCCAACTTAAAACTGCATCGGAAATCCGCCTATAAGGAGCCGAACAAGTAGGGCGGAAATTGCTGCACCCAACATAAAATAGGGCGGAAACCCACAGAAACAGCGACAGAAAAGTAGGGCGGAAATTGGCATCAGCGGGGCTTGAAAAGTAAGGCGGAAATTCCAAGCTCCACTTACGAATTCCCCCCAAAGTAGGGCGGATCCGGAGTCAGGGCAGCCTATATAGATTCGGATCTGGGGGGGTACATCGGCCAGTGGGGCCAAGGCCGCGCCAGCAGGGCTTAGGGATGGGCGAGGCCGGTGCTCCGTCAAGATCGCAGCGCCGAGTGTCCGGGCAGGAACTTCTCGGAGGTCCACGCGGGGCCCCCCGGGCGCCGCTTCTGCAGCCCACCAGGGCAGGGGCTGCAGGAGCGTCCGGCGCGGACCCGTGGGATCAGCGCCGCGCGGAGTTCAGGCCCACACAGCCGGCGTCTCGAGGAGAATTCGAGACGGAGGGTTTCCATTGCTGGGCCTCGGGGCCGTCAAAACACGGCTCGGGATGAGAAGCCGGCCCCGGGGAAGTGGTCGAGAGGTTTGGGGGGCCGTGTAATCGAGACGCCGGATGTCGGGGGATAGTGATGCTCGTGTTGTGTTCTGGCTCTCCACAATCACCGTGATCCCAGACACGACATCGAAGGACGGCACGAAGATCATTGTGAAGGGCTTTGGGCCAGCGGTGATGTGGCAGGAGCTGAAGGACTGGGGATGCGCGCGTCGGGAATCGATAGCAGGACCCACCGTGGTTGGGCGAAGTTAGCCAGAAGCCCCTACGTGAATTCATCGTCTTTGCATGCTTCCCAATGCTTGCCGCTCTGCGTATCCTCACATGCCCACCAGACACGATTCCTGATTAGGCGACCTTTCTCAAGAAGGGCACCGCGCGGAGACAGCGCGAGCTGCCCCCAATGAACTTGCGTAAGTATATATGTTGGGTGTATATTCGAGCCATCGTGGGGCTCTCTTGTGGACCTTTGCGGAGCCTCTTGGGCCCTGCTGGGGCCGTCCTGGAGGCCATCAGTCAAAACAGGGTTGTTCCAATGAGCCCCCCCCTCCCGTGGACCACGAGCAATTGTCTCTTGGAGCCCTCTGGGAAGACTCTTGGGGTGCTCTTTGGGGCCTTCGGGGCCATATGTCCGCTCTTCTCAGCACTGCTTGGGGCCCTCGTGGGCCATCTTGGGCTTCACTGATGTCCAACTATCGCATCGGAAGGCACCGCGAGAAGCCACAGTCATGCAAATAGCCTGGGGAAGCTGCGTGTATCACAGGGTCGGTGCGAGTGTCGGGTTGCGAGGCAAGCATGCAGAGGCGCGCTGAGCCCTCTGTGGGGCACGATCCGCGTGAGTGGGGTGCCGCACTGCGCAGAACCCCCAACACGAACGCGCCCACTGAGGCTGGAGGAATAGGTCCCTGGGTCCCTGTGGGGCGCGATTCGCGTGAGCCCTGGGGCCGTCGGAGGAGCTCCCTCTGTCCAACGGAACGTGTGGGGGGGTTTGGGGGGGGGGGGGGGGCGAATTGCGCGTGCGGGCGCTATGTGAACTCTGTCCCTTGTGAGAGGTGTGCCGTAATGGGCGGTGGCCGCTGCGGGAACGTTAATCCTGGGGCCGCAGGTGGAGCACCCCGTGGGGCACGGGATGCGTGTCGAGATGGGCGGGGGGGGCGCTGAAGGTTGCCCATGGGGCCGCAGGTGCAGCCCCATGCGGGTCAGAAAACGTTTGAGGGGAGCGCCGGGATGGGCGCGGAGGTGCTGTGCGAACGTTGTCCCTGCTGCCTTCGGTGGAGCTCCCTGCGGAGCGCGGAGCGAGTGCTTTGTAGAAGCCCCCCTTCGTGGGGCACGAAGCGTGTGAGAGGGGTGCGCCGGGGCGAAACGAGATGAGCATGTGAAGGTGGGAGGCTGGGGCAGGAGGAGGACAGGGAGGCGGGCGAGGTGGTGCGAGATGAGACGGTGGGCACCATTATTCAAACCGGGGGCCCAACCTTGAGTTGCTCCCCACCGGACAGGTGGGGGCTGTTCGATTTTAACTACATGCCTCCCGACCCGCCCTATCTGCATAATTACCGCGGCCGCTAGATCGCCAGGTCCACCGAGTATCCCCTGAGTGTCTCGCCTCGCGCCTTCGACGAGCACGGACAAAATCAGAGCATTACACAACATCCCAGCACAGAGCAATGCATTCCATGGCACACCATAACATGATAGAGCGCGGTACAGCATTTTACAGTAGCAGAACATAACACATCAGAACACGATAAGCTACTGCAAACGAAGCAACCTGCACAGCATAACATTTCACACATCTCAATGTAGCATAGCATGTCGTACCATACCATGACATATCAAAACAAAACATCGCATTGCACACCATATCATACCATAGCTCAGCACAGCAACACATACAATGCCATACCATGCCAAATCACCTCATGGCATGCCGCGGCATAAGACGTTGTATCATATAGGTGTGATGTCGCATAGCATAGCATCCTATCATCGCAAGGTATAGCCTGGCATGTCATTCCATACCATTACATAACATGACACGTCAAAGCTACGCATGCAGTGCCATTGCGGAGCACACAACATTTAGCCAGACACTAGATTTCAGACGGCACAAGAACAGGGCATGCCAACACACACCATATCAGATCAGGGCATACCATCTTACACACTGGCATCGCATATCAAACAATAGCACATAATCCCTGATCACCCCATTCCATCTCACGGCAATACATATACAATACTAGCATTCCGCTGACAGTATCATAACATTACAGAGCAGACCAGGGCATAACCGATCAGACCATGTCATGACAGAAGATACCATAATGGGGCATCGAGCTTAACATACCATACGGAGCATAGTAGGGTGGTTGACGATTGATACCATGGCTGCAGCGAATGCACTAACACATTGTAGGCTTCAACGGGATATAGAGGAAGACCATGACATGACATAACATAGCATGACATACCCAGCGTATCACCACGTGGCCAACAAAGCACAGCATAGCTGTTTGACTACTGGTACCACCACGGCAACGAGCTGGATAAAGCACCATATACCTCACTCACCTGAGTTGATGAAGTCTATCATCATACACCCGATTTCAACTTACTGGAAAGAGCATAGCACATCATACCATAGGATATCATATCATACCACAGCCTGGCATAACACCGTATGGTTAAACGCGGTGCCACAGCGCAGAGGAGCACGTTTTGGCAATATAAAAGCCATACGCGGGAGGAACATGCCATCATATATCGTACTAAAGAATGTTATCAAACGCGACGTGCGCGCCGAGGTCGGGTTGGCCATTGGACCAACAGGCCGAGCAACGACCCAATGGACGACGTATCAAACGTAACAGCCGTTACGACGTCACGCCAGATTGCCACTACTACTACTGCTGCTATGTCTACGACTGCAGACACTACTACGACTGCTTCTACGATGACTATTATTACTATTACTAATATTTCCACTACCTCTACTTCTACTCCTACTTCTACTACAACATCTGCTGCTACTACTACTACCCCTACTACCACTACTACTATTACTACCACTACCACTACCACTACCACTACTACTACTACTACTACTACTACTACTACTACGACGACGACTGCTACTACTACTACTACGACTACTACTCCTACTACTACTACTACTACTACTAGTAGTACTACTACTACTACTACTACGACCACTATTACTACTACTATTATTACTACTACTACCACTACTATTACTACTACTACTACTACTACTACTACTACTACTACTACTACTACTAGTACTAGTAGTACTAGTAGTACTACTATTACTACTACTACTACTACTACTACTACTTCTACTACTACTACGACTAATTCTACTACTATGACTACGACTTCGACTACGATTATTGTTGCTACTACTACTACTACTACTGCTGCTGCTGCTACTACTACTACTACTACTACTACTATTACCACTACTACTGCTTCGGCTTCGACGACAATGACGACGACACTTCTATCACTACTGCTGGTACTACTGCTATTACGTGCATGACTGCTACGAACACTGAACGTTAAGTATTTCAGAGAGTAGAACATAACATAACATACAACATATTAGGCCACACGTATGTATACACACATATATGGAACGTAAGCCCGGAGACCAGAGTGGACGGTAACAGAACATATCAGAGTCATCGAGCAATCAATCGATGGCAAACACGAAATTCGGGAACGGAGCATAACAGAGTCGTAAACAAGACAGGTTGAGGTTGTGCTACACCTGACAAGTTGGGGTCCTTAGATTTTAGACCCCCCACCCTGCATACCGCGGCCGCCAGATCCCCAGGTTCTGCGAGACTCCCCCGAGACCCGCGCTCCGCGCCAACCCGCTCATTCTGCATACCACGGTGGCCAGATCCCCAAGTCCACCGAGAATCCCCCAAGACCCCCGCCTCGCCTTTCCGCCGAACACGACAGAACCTGATAGAATCGGACGGGGAGAAGACGAGGCCGGGGGATTGTGGGGGTCCTCGTCGTTTTCATATGGTTTTTACGAGTGAAACGCTCCTCCGCCCCTCTTTTCTGAATGAATATTTGGTGTTTTTGTTCTGCTTTATCATGCTATTTTCAAATTCTAGCATGGGGATGGGGAGGGATGTCAATGCTAATGCTAATTCCAATGCCAATGCTAATGCTAATGCTAATGCCAATGCTAATGCCAATGCCAATGCGAATGCGAATGGTAATGCCAATGCCATTGCTAATGCCAGTGCTAATGCGAATGCGAATGCGAATGCGCATGCTAACGCTCATTCCAATGCCGATGCCAATGCTAACGCAAATGCTAACGCAAATGCTAATGCCAATGCTAATGCTAATGCCAGTGATAATGCAAATGCTAATGCTAATGCTAATGCAAACGCCCATACTAATGCCAATGCTAATGCTAATGCGAATGCCAATGCGAACGCTAATGCGAATGAGAATGGTGATGCCAATGCTAATGCCAATGCTGATGCCCATGCCAATGCCAATGCTAGTGCAAATGCCAATGCGAGTGCTAATGACAATGCCAATGCCAATGCTAATGCTGATGCTAATGCTAATGCCAATGCTAATGCTAATGCCAATTCTAATGCTAATGCCAATGCCAATGCTAATGATAATGCCAATGCTAATGATAATGCCAACGATAATGCCAATGCTAATGCTAATGGCAATGCTAATGCTCATGCTAATGCTAATGCCAATGCTACTAACAATGCCAATGCTAATGCTGATGCTAATGCTGATGCTAATGCTAATGCTAATGGCAATGCCACTGCCAATGCGACTGATAATGCTAATGCTACTGCGACTGCTAATGCGAATGCTAATGCGAGTGAGACTGCTAACGCGAATGCTAATGCTAATGCTAATGCCAATGCTAATGCTGATGATAATTCTATTGCTCGTGATAATGCGAATGCGAATGCGAACGCGAACGCTAATGCTAATGCTGATGATAATGCCAATGCTAGTGATAATGTCAATGATAATGCCAATACGGATGCTAATGCCAATGCTAATGCTAATGCCAATGCTACTGCCAATGCTAATGCTGATGCTAATGCTGATGCTAATGATACTGCCAATGCTACTGTAAATGCCACTGATAATACTAATGCTACGGCGACTGCTAATGC